GCACGGCCGGGGATCCCCGGTACCGGGAGGCTGAGAGCCGCTCCCGGCCGCTCCCTGCAGCGCACACGCGTGGGCACAACCGGCCCTGGCAGGGCACGGGCAGCCCGGAGTGTGCACACACACACACACACACGCGTGTGCACACACCCACTCCCTACGTGACACACACCCTGCAGGGCTCACACGCGCACACACACACCTGTGCACACCCGGTCTCTACAGCACGCTGCACACCCTGTAGTGCGCACACACACACACACACGCGTGTGCACACCTGCTCGTGCAGCACACACACACCCTGTAGTACGCACATGCTTGTGCACACCCACTCCCTACAGCACACACACACCCACACCCTGTAGTGCACACACATACACACACTCGTGTGCACACCCGCTCCCACAGCACACACACCCCTGTAGTGCTCACACACACACCCGCATGTTCACACCCGCTCCTGCAGCACACACAGCCCTGTAGTGCGCACACATGCGTGTGCACACCCACTCCCACGGCACACACCCCCTGTAGTGCTCACACACACACACACACGTGTGTGTGTGCACCCACTCCCACAGCACACACACCCCTGTAGTGAACACACACACGTGTGCACACCCGCTCCCACAGCACACCCCCCCTGTAGTGCTCACACACACCCCTCGCAGTGCACACGCACGTGCAAGAACAGGCTGTCGCCAGCGGCTCTTGCCCGGGCTGAGGGCTGTGAGCCCGCTGAAACCCGCGTGGGAGCTCGAGGCTTCCCAGTCCGGCCCCAAACACGCTGGTTTTCACGGAAAAGGCCGGAGGGGGCCCGATCCTGGCGGGGTCCTGGAGCCCAGGGCCCCATCGGTGATCAGCTGAACCACGACTGAGTTTCACACAAGTGCTGACCAATTTTGTCACATGGAATCCAAACTGAAACAGCAACAAAAAAGGAAAAGTTGTGAAAATGATGCTGCTATTTTGGTTTTTTTTTTTTCCCCCTTGGTCGGAAAACCTGGACAGCAAATCTCGTATTTTGTCCCGTTTAGCCCCAGCCCTGCAGGACGTTTGGCTGCAGCCCCAGCTCACCCCCACCCCAAGAAACAGAGAAGCTTCGTTAACCAGAGCAATAATCGTCCTTTATTAGGCTGAGCTCCCCACGGAGCACCCGGATTCCTGTGTATATTGCTTAGGACCATCAAAAAAACCCGATCCCTGCTCTTCCTCGGGACAGCGCGGTGCGTGGTGTGCGGGTGCTCGGATAGTATAAATTAAGACGAAAAAGGAACATTTGCGGTGGGCCGTCGCCTCCGCGGGTGGCTTCGCTCAGTTGGGCAGAGGCTTTTCGCAGACGTAGTAGCACTCGTAGGTGCAGTAGACATCGTTCCACTTCCCGGAGATCCAGACATGGGCACAATCTTCGTTGCTGCCGCTGTTGTTGGGCTCCCCCTCCTTCCAAAACCTGGGCAGAGAGGGATCAAACTGAGCGAGGGTCCAAAATCTGGGCAGAGCGGGTTCAAAGTGAGGGAGGGCAGCAGGGGCAGGCAGCTGAGTGGAGCAGCTTTCCCCCGGGGCTGGGAGAAGGGCAGGGATTAGCTAAACCTGTCTGGTTTTAGATGGGTTGAGATGGTAAGTCTTGCCTGTGCTGCTGTCTTCACCCCGTCCCGGGGCAGGGGGAAGAAAGGGGCTGAGATGGGGGCGTGCAGACGGGGCAGCTGCCTGCTCCTTGGGGGTGATGGGCACAAAGCCGCAGGGCAGGCCAGCACTCACGTGAACGTGGTTCTGTAGTCGGTGCCGTCGATCCATTCCCATTCCCCTTCGGAATTCTCATCTGTGAGCCCGATCCAGAAACGCTCATTCCTTGTCCTGAACATGACAAAATTCTGCAGCGGGGAGAGGGATCAGGAGGGAAAAGCGCCAGGAAACGGGCAAGCTCAGCTCTGCCTTGGCACCGTGGAGGAGCCGGAGAGGCTCAGCTCAGGGCATTTATTTACAAGGTGGAGGTGCAGGATGGGTGCCGGTGCTGAGTTTAAGCATCCCGCACACACGGAGAAGCCCTGGCTGCAGGCAGCGGGCAGGCAGAGCAGGTCCTGCCTGCTCTCTGCTGGCTGATGCAAAGGATAACAGCACCAGCTCTCAGCTGCCCAGCGAGGTTGGGGTGAGCCGTGGGGAGCCAGGGGGGTCCAGGGGGGGCTCTGCAGGAGGGTTTGGGCCAGCCTGGGCTTTCCTGCCTCGAGCTGGGCTCCGTACCTGCTTGGCGTAGCTGTTGATGACAGCCAGCTGCGAGTGCATCTCTTCGCACTGAGCCTTCGCCTTGTACCAGCTCATTCTGGTTAGGGAGAAGTAGTAACATTTCCCGTCAAAGTATTCCCATTCCCTGGATCCGGGTCCGCAGGGAAACACTGGTGAGAGAAGGGGGGGGAATATCAGGGGGATCATGGGCCGTCGAGCGGGGCTCATCCCAACGAGATGGTTTTCCCAGCAGCGCTCCGGTGCCAGACTGGTACAGAAATGGCACGGCCCCGAAGCTTGCTGTACATTGAGTTGCCACAAAGGCGGCAGCAACTGGCCCCTGAAAAAGCTAAGATATAAAAGTGTTTGCTACTGGCAGGGCAGCAAACCCAGAAGGGAACAGATGCCCTGCACCGCCTCAGCGAAGCAATCCAGAGCAGGAACACTTCGGGGACAACTTCGGGAAACTTCAGAGGGGAAGAAAAGCTTGTGGGTTTGGGCAGCAGCCAAAACTTACAGAGAAAATCCCTGCCAGAAAAGTTCTGTTTCCGTTCCAGGCGCACCTCGTTGAGTTTAGAAGAAACGGCTGAAACTAGAGAGGGAGAGATGCTGCGTTATCGCTTGTGTTGCTACACGTGCGCCGACCCCACCCCGTCCAGGCTAAAGACATGTTTTATTTTTCCAGCAGCCTCCGGGGCGACGAAATCCCAGGAAATTTAAAATACTGGTTTATAGCTTGGATTAGGCAGAGCTGGTGGTGTGGATGTCAGCGGTCACCGCACGGGAGTGTCTGGGAGCAACTCTGGTGCTGTGAAATTAGGACCTATAGAATCCTCTAGCACATGAGCTCAGGCCTCATCCATCTGCTGGTCCTACCTGCCTAATTAATGAGTTCAAAGATGTCCCAGTACCTCTGGAGAGCGACACAGCAAACAGCGTGATGATCAGCAAAAAGGAGAGGGCCAGGAGCAAATATACCGTGAAAAAGGACTGCAGCTTCTGCCGGAAGAAGTTTCTGTCTTTAAAACAAAACAAAAGAGATGTGAAAATATTCCTCTGGGATCAGTGGGATTTTGTCAGAGCTCTTCAGGTTCCATTTAGAAAAGGCTTAATAAATAACCCAGAATAGTTAACTATTCTCTACAGAAGCCAAAATTTTGATGAGCATTCCTGTTCAGACCCACCTGGGGGGCTGAAAGCTCCCCAGAACAGGCGCTGTCAGGCAGTGCGTTGTGTTGGCACTGGAGTGGCCTTGCCAAAGGCAAAATAAAAAGAAATTCTAAGCTTACACCATGTATTTTAGGCTGTGACATGTTTTTAAACCCTCCTGGCTGTCTAGGAAGCCTTTTCAAAAGGGGAATGGTTCCCCAGGTGACAGTCCATGGTCTGGAGGGTTCTTTGCTGTCCTGAGCTGGCTTCAGGTGCCCTTCTGGGAGAGGCTGAACTTGGACTCCACGGCTTGACCTTGGGAGGTTTGTGAGAGCGCTGGGCCACTCAAGCCGGGGAGCTCGACTTGGGAAAGCTTCACACAGAGCCTAATTTTCCTGTGGCCCCGGACACTTCCAACACCAGATGCTCTCTGGTGTTGCTGGTTGGGCACCACCAGCTTCCCAACACCCACAGCCCTTCACCTCAGCCCACACCCGCAGCAAAGTCCCTTTTCCCCCCCCACCTTCCCAGGGCCAAGCTCCTCAGGGGGAGTTCCCCATCTCAACCAATTAACCCCGTTAGACCTTCCTCTCCCTCACAAACCAAGCACGCTGGGGGAGAAAGACTACGCTACAAGACACGGTCTTGTTACCCCCTTTGCTCCTGCCTGGCTCCTCGAGGTGGGGGGCTGAAGGGCTGGCGTGGCTGAAGTTTACCTTTAAAAACGTGCAGATCGTCGTGGAGATGTTCCTCGTCCATCCTGATAAGCTGTGGCTGGGAGGAGGGGGATGAAGCTTAGGACCGAGTAGGCAGAAGCTTTTTCACCAGGGTTTCTGGACTAGAGACCTTGCAGCACTTCCAGGGATGTTCAGTCCAAAGGTTATAATTTAACCAGCAGTTTTTCAGGCTCTGTCCTATTGGTTTGTCCTCTCAAAATAGCGGCTTGGATTGTGTCCACTTCCAATAGTTCAGCCGTCTGGAGGTTTTTCCTCCAGCCAAGCAGGGTGCCCCTTTTTATTTGTCACTCTCTTCACCCCTCCGGAGTTAAAAAAAAAAAAAAAAAAAGGCAAATTCTCACGTTTCAGAAAGTGTTTCCTCTAAGTGTGGAAATGAGAAGGTCTGGGAAGTAGGAAAGTCTTTGGTTTGGAAACCAAAGCTGAAGGCCCAAGTGGTGCCACAACAGATGCGTTTCCCCAAGAAAATAAACCCGATCTGGGTCTGATGAAGCACCTGTAGGAATGTGCTGTGTAAATCCGTGTGTGATGGAGGCGTAGGAGCAGCTTGGGGATTACCGGTCGCTCCCCGCACCAGTTGGTGACCCGGGAAGTTTAGGGGCTCTCTCAGTTGGTTTTTTTCACTTTGGTGGCTGTGGACTTTTGCTCCTGTCGGCCCTGACAGGACTCTGAGAGCTGCTTCGTGCACTGGCTGTGCTGAGGGTTTAGCCGGCTCTCTGTAAATCTGTATTTTTAAAAAAGGTGGGCTTTGATGGTGTGATGTGCTGTAAGGCAGGTTTGGGGGAAGAACTGATCAAGTTAAAGGCTGGCAAAAGGTGAAATGGAGATAAACAGAGCAGAAACCCCCAAACTTGGAAATTAGAAGCAATAAGGGTGTGGAAGAGCCCGCATCAGTAGATGCGTGAGCAGGATGAGCTGCTGCTCTCCCGCAGCAGACACAAACTGATGATTTGAGAAGACCCTTTCAGTCCTTTATTCCTGTAATTTGCCCGTGGTCCCCTCCTGCTTCCAGACCTGAAAAGCCCACTTCACACCACAGAAACTCGTAATTGCTGTTCCGTGTTATTCCGCGTTCAGCAATTATGTGCTCTGCGGAGATGATGGAGAACTGGCAAGTTGGGACTCTCGGATATTAAATTACGTTGTGGGGAGCGCGGCGCCGTCAGCCTCGCCGGCGTCCCACTGCAAACATTGAGAGAACATTTAGGTTCTCGCCGCATCGAGCTGCGCCTTGACTGACTGACGGATTTTTACTGGCTTTAATTTTCCCTTTTGCTGTTTTACCTTCGCTCGCCGAGCCCAGAGAGTGCTGGGACAGATAGTGCTTGAAGTTTTAATAACGCTAATTACTCCAGCGTAAATCTCTGGGCCTGTGATAAACACATAGTGGTAGTTATTAAGCTGGCAGCCTTGGGATGCTTTCCAAAACAGAGCTGGGGCATTTTACCACTGTTTATTTGCCCCAAAGCTACACTGAGATTGTGTATAGGACCAGAAAGGAGGCCAGGGCACAAAGACCGGCTGTTGAGATGCACAGCAATGAGGATTTCATCACCGGGAGGTCACTGCCATCCAGGTCTGCCCAAAACCAAAGCGCTTGTTGCACAAGCTGCAGCTGAATGGAGGGCAGGGGGGTGTGGGGTGAAACCAGCTCGATGCGAGGCTCAGCTCGGCCATTAATCCTCCTGCTCTGCTTCCCAGAAAAAAAAAAAAAAAAAAGGAGTAATTGTGGGAAACACCAGTTGACGTTCCTGTCAGCCTGGATCAGGGAGGACACGAACAACACAGGGGAACCTCTCGGGGAGGGAATCGGGGTGTTAAGAGGATCCAGGATTTGGGTGTTTGTTTGAACTCGTTGTAATTGCCCGCATTTCCCTGCTGTAAGGGAAGAGCTTTGCCAGGACTGAAGGGTTGGTAAATCCGAGGAGAAATCGATGGTGTCCCCGAGGGCCTCCTGTGACGCAGCCATGCCGGTCCCGCTTGTACCTTCATCCCAGGGCAGCAGCTCTGCAGCTGGTCACACCCCAGGAGGCTGCTGGGTGGCCAAAGCTGCCCAACTTCTTTATTTTAACAAAGACATTCAGTTAAGACCTTGCAGCATGAGAAAACATAAATAAAAAGCATTTTTATTAATACAATAAAATCTGATTAAATACAATATTGGATTTAAAACCATCCTTGGGTGGCTCGAGAACCTCAGACGGGCGCTGTCACAACGCTCAGGGCCAGTGATCTGGTGGTACAACGCCGCAGGGAGGAGGAAAACACTGATGATAAAAGGTGAGGAGGAAACGTGGCTGCTCCAGCAAAACCCAGAGGCAACAGCTGCCCCAGCCCGGCCGCTGCGCAAACAGGCCACGCGGCTCTTAGGAGCAGGCGGTCAGGAAGCCCCATGACCAAAAGCTTTCTGGGGAGTAATTCAAAGAACCGAATTTTGAGGAAAATAGAAGGAAGACAACATCCTCGGCTGGCAAACATTTGCTGTCTGGACAGGTCGCCTGAGGTCTTCCAAAAAAACAGCAGCTCTGGCACGTGTGGCTGAGGTATTTTGTCCCTGGCTGGGTTTGGAGGGTACGTGTGGGGCGGTTAAGCAACTGGAGTTAGATATTAACTGGGAGTTTGGGGTTTGGGCTGCCAGAGGGATTTTTTTGGTGGCAGGAGGGAGCCTCACTTCACTCCTCGAGTTCTGCACTTGTTAAGCCACTGCCTGATGTTCAGCAGTGGGGGAAGAGGAGCGGACAGATGTTAAACTTGTAACCTCAGCCAGGCTTTGGTCAGCTCATCAGCGGGGTTCCCAAAGGCTGGGGGCTCCCCAGCTTTCCTTTTCCCCCAGTCCACAGAAAAGTGGGGGGAATCCTACAAAAACCAAGCTCCTGACAAACCATTTTGCTGTTTTAGCCCAAATGGAAATTGTGCCCCAAAAATACGTACAGCAGCTCGCAGGAAAACGAGCTTTATGCAAAAAAAAAAAAAAAAAAAAAAAAAAAAA